CAGTCTTATAAGTAGGACAAAATGCTAATGCTTCCAAATGTCTGGGATTTGGAAACATTAGGATCTCACTGGCAACTGGGACATTTTTTGGCTTTAGATACAAATAGAAGGCTCCCTCCTTAAGTCTCTCCTCAGCTCAAATACCCTCCTCCAAGGGAACTTTGGCTGAAGAAGGCCTACAGAATGAGGTCCTCTGTAGCTAGCTGACCATTCTGGTTTGTCTGTTGGGAAAAAATAAGAAAAACTTTGTTGAGCCTGCTACATTGGATGGTCATTTGGATAGGCTGCAAATTTTCATCACAAGACATTTCTAGGAGAGGCAGGGGAGACTCCGGGGCCATGTCTACACTACAGAAAAAAAAAATTGAAGCAGCCACAGTCAATCTTTTGAGGTTCGAATTAGCTGGTCTGCTGAAGACACACTAATCTGAACTGAGAGGGGCTAGTAGTCCTGCTTCTACAAGGAGTAAGAAGTCAAAGGGAGAGCGTGCTTCCTTTGACCTCCTGCAGTGTGGACGGCACCAGAATTTGACTTAAGATATGTTGACTTAAGCAATTAGCATAGCTGAGGATGTGTATCTTAATTCAAATGTAGCCCTTAGTGTAGCCCAGGGGCTATTGAATTTGGCCTAAATAAGATTTTAAAAATGGTGAGGGAGGGAAATAATCTCTTTTAGTCCTACAGGAAAAGGAAAAATTCCAAAACAAATAAAAAGCAGAGCAGTTTAAAAGGATGATGTGATGTAAGCTCTCTCTCACCTGGACAGGTCAGACAAACTCTTTGTACCTTCTGCAGATGCAGCAACCAGCAACTGATACGCCAGTTTTAAAAATGTCAGAATAAGCCAAATGCTTAGAACCAAATTCCAGTATACTTACTCCTTTTGAGTAGAATCAAGAAATCGACACTGTTCACCAAGTAAGTCATTACACAAGGAGAGTAAAAGATAGCAAAATCTGACACTTTATAATAGCAACCATGCTCCACAGTAATAAAGTACTCTTCATTCAAGCTCTCAAAGTACTTTACAAACCTTAGTTCATTAAATTTAAGAACACATAATTTGGAATAAATAGAGAAGAAAATTGTTAAAGGGTTTCCTCAACAATATCTACAAAGACTTATTTTTCTTTCAGAGAATTTAATTATCTCTTTGCCTTCCACATTAAAAATAAAAAAGTTGTTCAGACTTTTATCTTTCCTCATCAAACTGTAAACATTCCTTTTCAGCCTCATTCCTCCCCCAGCCTTTGATTCAAAGAGCTGAAGGAGCCATTGCTCTGCCTTGAAATTTTATTTAAAATAAAAAAGGTGGGGGGAGGAGGGAGAAGGAGGAAAAAAATCCCTTTTCCTGACTAATACTTATAATACAGGTCAAAATGTCACTTGATCTACAATTAAATGGAAAACAAAAAAGGTTTTCCCTTTTTTCCCACAGTACAATAGCACTGGAATATAAATTACCGCTGAAGATGAAATAATACTTCAAAGCACATGGGGAAGGGCAGCACAGTGTTTACAAAGTATTTTCAACGGCATGATGAAACATTGAAGACGATGGTAACCCATGGATTTCAGGGGTATTGGTGAATAGTTTAAAACTAGCATGCGGTAGGATTTTAGGTCCCTATAGTCTATGACCCCATGATATGCTTTGTTTAACAAGGGCAGCTGCAGTTATCAACAGATGTTTCAGCAATAAATAATTGGTATCATCTCGGAAAAGACCCATCTACCTGGGGAGCGGGCATAATGCTGAAAACACTGCTCTACTATTACAGCCACATTAATCTCCTATCTATCCAGGTTTCTTGGGGAGTTTACTGCAGGTGTTTATCCTGGGAGAAAGCAGACAAATGCTCCGAAGCTAGAAAGCTTTGTGAGGATTGTAAAGGAGGTCGGCCTCAGCCATAAATTTCTGTCTACGGCCACACACACCAGAGAGAGAGAGAGAGAAAAAAGAAAACACCCAAATAAATTCAGAATTACAATAAAATCCTCTTTATCAGTGGAGCATATGAAAGCAAACCCGCCCCGCTTATCAGTTAAAATGTACGGTGATGTCCAACTCAAGCTTCCAATTTTTTTAAGCTACTTATGCTGTTGTATTAAATAAATGAACAAAGTTCCTAGATCCAAAACTTGTTCTTACTTAGGCCTGACTCCCAGTGAAGTATACAAGATCAGGGATGGAATCCCGCCGTTAGTGAAGTCTCAGAGTTTTGCCATTGATGTCAGTGGACCAAGGACGTCTCTCCAGGTCTCTTGGGCCCAACTCCCTTTTCAGCTGCACCAGTATAACTCTGCTGACTATTACTGATGTACCTCACTCTAAGTAAGAGGAAAACTGGAGTCTCCTTGTCTTTCATTTTAACTCTGTTTTTACATAGGCACCATCAACTTAAACATCACACTAGGCTTTAACAAGCAAGCAAGCAAGCAAGCAAGCAAGCAAGCAAGCAACACTTAATATTTCTATAACTGGAAAAAAGACTAGAGAAAAGAAGTTTTGTTTTTTAAATCCAGTTTGTTTAGCTTGAGCTCATCATCTTCAGGGCTAGGGTCTGTAGGCACCAGATATTGATTCTTTAGGGCTAAATCCTACAAACCGTTCTTGGGCAAGTAACCTGTCCTCTTGTGAAAAGCACCATTTGAATCAAAGGGGTTTCTCGTATGACCCAGAAACCCATTTTTGCAGGATTAGGTGCCTGAGGTTTTCATTGTGTAGTTTTGCCCCAAAACTGAGGGCCCGATTCTGCATGACTTCACTTATATGGGGAGTCCTTATCGTCAGGCTCACTGAACTAGAGGAGTTCTACATTTTTTAAAAATCGGGTTTTACAAAATATTATATAAATATGTATTTCAAGTTTTTATTTTAAATGTCAATGAAAAACTTTTCTGGAAGGATTTAAAAACATTTTCCTTTGTTGCTGGAAACCTGAACCCAACAGCATCACTGTATGCAAGATCACTGGAACATTAAAGGGACTAATAAAAGTGAAAGCAACTCATCTATTACTTATTGCATCTCCTAAAACCGGCCATCTCTGGTCCGGCATGATCATGGGTGTTCATGGATCAGAGAGCTGGGTAGCCTAGTGGCAGGAAGGCTATTGAAAAGTGGGGTTGGGATGAAGCAGAAGGACGGGGCAGGGGTTGGGGCTGGCGGCAGCCCTGAATAGCTTGCAGCAGTGGGGCTGAAGATAGCAGCAGCCCCCGCCAGCCCGCGCACTGAGACCAGGGTAGTACCAGGCAATCAACAGCCTGTGGTACTGTGGGGCCGGAGCCAGAGCCCTAGGCAGCCTGTGGAAGTGGGGACAGAACCTGTGGGCTGCCGCAGGGTAAGAGTTTGAGCTCTCAGCAGCTTGTGTCAGAGGGACCGGTAGCAGTCTGTGGCAGTACGGGGCCGGGGCCACCTTGCGGGAGTGTGGGACCAGAGCCCACAGGCTGCTGTGGAACCTGAGCCCTCGACAGCCCCCAGGAGCCCTTGGCAGTTGGACTGGGACCAGAGTCAGCCCCCACCAGCGGGACCAGGGCTGGAGGCGGCAGCGGTGGGGCCGAGGTCAGGGCCAAAGGTTGTGGCAGCCCGCAGGCAGCTCTAGCCAGGGCAGCAGTGGGGCCAGACAGGGCTGGGACTAGTGAGGGGTCCCCGGAGTTGTCAGTGCTGAAGGTTGAGGGCCGAGGAGCTGTGGCAGGGAACCTTCTCTGGTCTGTAAAATTCCCTGATTCAGGACCAGTCAGGTCCTAAGGGTGCTGGTCCAGGGAGGTGCAACCTGTATTGTTATTTATTGTTTGCATTGACTGTAGCAACTAGGAGTCCCAGTCATGGATCAGGACCCCATTGTGCCATGCGAAAACTGCACAAAGGCTGTCCCTGCCTCCAGTGCATCAAGTGCAAAGGTGAGTAAACAGCATAAATGAAGTTTTTATACATAAAATCAGTCCTGGCAGAGGGAATACTATCAAAGTCCTTTTAAGTTCTGCAGATACTGAGATACTGTCTTCCCATTATAGCAAAATATGTGTACGCATCGAGATGTCACTGCTTCCATCTACTGTATCCTGACTGGAGCCTTTCTGGGTATGTCTCCACTGCAGTTAGACACCCATGGTTGACCGCAGACAGCTGACTTTGGCAAACAGGTCTATGGTTTAACTGCAGGGTAGATGTTTGGGTTCAAGCCCAAGCTCTGGGTCCCTTCCATTTTCCAGGGTCCTTGAGCCTGGGCCCTAAATATCTACCGTGCAATTAATCAGCTCTTTACTCAGAGCCCCCTGAGCCTGAGTCAGATAGCACAGGCCAGCCATGGGACTTTAATTACAGCGCAGATGTACCCTTTGAAGCCAGTCTCCTGCATTGTCCACAGTCCATAAGGACTCCTTTGCCCACTGGAAGCAATGTTCTGAGTTAGGCCATTTCCCCCCCACTATCAGCCACAGGAAGAGAGTCTTACCACTGAAGGCTCTCATTGAGTTGCCAGCTGGAGTTAGGGGTGAACATCATCTCATATCTCAAGTTCCAGTCTGAGACTTAACTAAGGCCACAGCCTGGAAATCTAACAGTAGGGACTGATTTTTCTCACACTGACATTGATAGAAGAACTCCTGTGAATTTCAGTGGGAGCAGGACTGGGCTGAACAGCAATACTATCCGTTATCCTTCCACTTTTCATTATATTTAGCCTACTTGGAAATTAGGTATTCCATGGAGAGCAATGACACCAAGCCACTGTCTCCAGCATATGGATACACTAAAAATCACAGCAGAAATGACTCTAAGTTAATCACTTCACATCTATGGAATGCAACAAGAGAAGCAATGGAGTCCCATATTTAATCTCAGTATGCCTTGCCCTTCTCTGAGAGTTGCTTCCTCATATCAGTTCATTAACAAAGTCATTGTCTGGAGTCATCTGTGTAGCAGGAAATCTAGCGGACAAGCCCTCAAGAACTGCACTTGCAGATTTTAAAAGAACAGGTGTGTTGAACTTCATACCAGTAATTCATGCAGCCTTCCACTGATCATATCTTGCAGGTTTGTTTTGTCTTCTGGGTCTATGGCTTGTTTGTATTGCCATTTCTCTGGCACGAAGGGCCACTTCATTTCCTTTGCCTCTTCAATAAGGGTCCTTAGATCATCAGGGAGGGAAGCTGAAAAGGTCAAAGTGCAGGTAAGGAAATTGCAGACGATTTAGCCACTAATGTTATGATGTAGCATCTAACTTGCAAAAAGCATTCCCTTGCCTGCACCTCTTCTCAGTCATACAAGCTGTTGGCTCTTGTCAAGAGTAATAATGAGAGGTTGTGTCTCATCAGTTGCTCTGCTATGCCCTGCAGGTAAACTGGGGCTGCCAGCCATTAAAAAGGTTTTTAGCAGGAAGTAAAACACTTTGGTGGCCGTCTATGCGTGAAGAACTAGAGAAAGAAAGTAGGAAACATTTCCCCCAAAGTGAGAACAGGGGTTTTGACTGAGTGAGTTAATCCACTAACATGGTAAATTTATCCCCTTCACTAAAGGTGGTATTAGGAGTCTTCTGATGGTTCAAGAAGACTAAATAAATAAAAAGATGGTGCCAATTAGAAGGCTTAGAAAGTCTGTAAAACAATTCTTCAGTGTCCGTATTTGCCACAAAGGTAATTGGCAATGAATATTAAATCTACTATAGTAGAAATAATTATAGATTACCCTCCCCCCAACACACACCCTCGCCCCAACACTCCCAGTACAACAACTGGAGGAGTAGTGAAACGCAGTTACGTAGGAAAACGAAGAAATTATTCAGTCCATCTGAATGGCTGATGTATGGCATGGGGGATTAAGTCTCTACACCTACTGAAACTACAGCCCCCACACAGAAAATCCATGGACTAGATCCTCATCTGCTATAAAATAGGGTGGCTCCTTTGATCGCCATGGAGTGCAGGTAAGGAAACTGCAGAAGATTTAGCCCCTGATGTTATGATATAGTCAATTTATACTAGCTGGGGATCTATTAACACATGCTTTTACTATTATGCTTCGCTTTCTGTTTATGGCAGAAGCCATAATGCTCTATAACATACGGGGTAGTATTTTCAGAACATTCTGCATAGATTAACCCTGCTCCTGCTGGAGCTAATGGATCACTGACATCAATGGAAACAGAATTAGGCCAGTTTAACACTTCTGAGTTCCCCGTTGACAGTACTTTTCATCTGAAGACCTCAAAGTCCTATATAAAATGAGTATTGTAAATATGCGAAAACGGAGGCTAAAGGCCTGATTTTCAGAGGTGAAGAGCACCCAGCGGTACCATTGACTTCAAGTGCTATGTGGGATGCTCAGCCCCTCAGGTGATTTGCCAAAGGTCCCACAGTAAGTCAGTGGCAGAGTTAAGGATAGAATAAATTAAGCATGGAACCCAGGTCTCATAACTCACGGACCTCTGTGCAAACTACTAGGACTTGCTGATACCCAATGTTAACGAAAGTGGATTAACCGGGGATTACTGACCAGCTGGGGTTAATGGCAATCATGAGCTGCATATCTAGCCTGGTCTAGTAATTAGTCCCCAGGAAAAACCCTGTTGTGAGATCATCACTGCCTAATCAGATAGTGAGCTAAATGTACTCTACAAAACCATGGTACCTTAAAGACCACAAGAAATTAAAACCTACGTTGCTTATCCTTATTCATGTCCACTAACCAACAGCGAAATCTGCTGGGTCATGGAATAGTTTTCCTTGAAAAATGATTAAAGCCCTGCTATTCGGGGCCAAATTTTCAAAAGTTGTCTTTAAAATGATGCCCACATTCTTGCAGATATTTTCCCACCCAAGTACAACTACCGTGCTACCAATTCGTGAGCAGCCAGGATTCCCCGGTGTTCTGAAGCTCTGGGCATGGATTGTATTATTGCCACTGCTGAACAGTATGGTGGAGAGTGAAGGCACAGGAAGGTGGCTCACTGGAATGGATAGAGGGGACGGCAGCTATGTAGCATGCTCATCTCCAGCAGGGATGACAGCCTTGCCAGCCCCCTGGGCAAGATGGTGGGAAGGGTCTGACTTGTGCCTCATGCAGAAGGGGTGGGGCTGGGACTAGGCAGCTCTCAGCACAACTCAGAGAGCGTTGCACCTCCAAACAGCCCTCAGTGCTGCTCGGAGCACATCGCACGGCACTCCAGTAGCAATATAAAGAGCCTGGAGCTCCAGCTGTTACTATTGCCACGGTAGGGCTGGGAGCACCAGGACATTTTGTATCACTGGGACCTGAGGCCTTTCCCTCCTCTTCCAATCCCCATGAGCGGGCCTTCTCACCTCTTCCCAGTGCCAACAGCGACTCCATGACGACACCTGTGGTATCACAAACAGGATTGAGGGAAACTGGATTGACCACAAAGAGGTCAGAACTAAGATCCTGTCTTTCTACACAGAGTAGCCTTAATGAATAAAGAGGAAGTGCCACATTTCCACCACCTTATAACGGAAACCTACCAGCCATTATACTTACCTACATGCCTCTAGCTTTCATCCAGAACATATTACCTGATCAATTAGGATCTTAGCCAGGTCCTAAGATACAATTGGATTTGCTCCAATCCTACAGACAGAGACAAACACCTACAGGTTCTCTATTGCGCATTCTTAAAACTTAAATACCCACCAGGGGAAGTGAAAAAACAGATTGACAAAGCCAGACAAGCACCTAGGCATCAGCTTTTTCAAGATAGGCCCAATAAACAAAACAACAGAACACCACTAGTCATCGCCTACAGCTCCCAACTTAAACCCCTCCAGTGCATTATTAACAATCTGCAACCTATCCTGGAAAATGACCCCTAATTCTCACAGGCCTTGGGGAACAGGCCCCTAACCTGAAATAAATTATTTCCAGCAACCACGCAGCACACCGCAAACATATTCACCCAGGAACCCACCCCTGCAATAAATTCCGGTGCCAACTCTGTCCACACATCTATACAAGCGACATCATCACAGGACCTAACCACATAAGCCACCATATCAGAGGCTCAAACAACTGCGTATCTGATCTATGCCATCAAGTGCCAGCAATGCCCCTCTGCCATGCATATTGCCCAAACTGGATGGTCTCTACGACAAAGGAGTAATGGACACATATCAGATATTCAAAATTGTAACACGCAGAAACCTGTTGGGGAGCATTTTAACTTATCTGGACACTCATTAAGAGATTTAAAGGTGGCTATTCTCTTACAAAGTAATTTCAGAAATCAGCTAGAAAGTCTGCAGAACTGGCTTTCATATGCAAATCTGACACTCTCTCTCATGGCTTGAGCAAAGACATGAACTGGATCGGCCATTATAGTCAACACCCAAATGACATGAAAAGCTAAGTATTAGTCACTTACAGCTCACTCTATTAGTCTCATTTGGCATGGACACTTTAATTGACCGTTTTTTCCCCCCCTCCTCCTCTCCCTTCTTTTTCTGTTTTATATTTGAACCTCTGTGCCTCTTGCTCCATATCTGTCATCTGAAGAAGTGGGTTGTGCCCACAAAAGCTCATGATACTATCGATATATTTTTGGTTGGTCTCTATGGGTATGTCTACACTACCCCCCTAGTTCGAACTAGGGGGGGTAATGTAGTCATACGGAGTTGCAAATGAAGCCCGGGATTTGAATTTCCCGGGCTTCATTTGCATAAAGCCGGCCGGCGCCATTTTTAAATGCCGGCTAGTTTGGACCCCGTGCCGCACGGCTACACGCGGCACGGATTAGCTAGTTCGGATTAGGCTTCCTAATCCGAACTAGCTCGCGCGGCTACACGTGGCACGGACTAGCTAATTCGGATTAGGCTTCCTATCCGAACTAGCTGTACGCCTCGTGGAACGAGGTGTAAAGCTAGTTCGGATTAGGAAGCCTAATCCGAACTAGCTAGTCCGTGCCACGTGTAGCCGCGCGGCATGGGGTCCGACCTAGCCGGCATTTAAAAATGGCGCCGGCCGGCTTTATGCAAATGAAGCCCGGGAAATTCAAATCCCGGGCTTCATTTGCAACTCCGTATGACTACATTACCCCCCCTAGTTCGAACTAGGGAAGTAGTGTAGATATACCCTATGGTATTACAGGACAATAGTTGTTTTTTAAACTTTTCTTCCACAGTGCACTTTGAACTTTGACTCAGCCATCTGTATTTAATGAACTTAACAGTTGCTGATCAACTTCTTGCATCTCACTGCTTGCAACTTCCCAGCCCTGCCTGTTTTTACAATCCCCTGCCCCTTCCCTGACCACTCATTCCATTCCTTCCTCCTCATCTTTCCCCTCTCCAATACAAAAATCATATGGAATTAAATAATACTGACACATATAGGATAACAACAGCCGCAGGCATTACAGAACTAGTAAGTAATGTGGTTTGGGACAGTGGTAGGCAGGCTCTTGAAGAACATAACTGTATTACAGTTACCCTTGGCCTCCTAGGCTACGTCTAGACTACATCCCTTTCTCGTAAAAGGGATGTAAAGTAGACGTATCGCAATTGCTAATGAAGCAGGGATTTAAATCTCCCCCACTTCATTAGCATAAAAATGGCTGCCGCTTTTTTCCCGCTCGGAGCTTTGTCAGAAAAAAGCGCCAGTCTAGATGCTGATCTTGTGGAAAATAAAGTATTTTCCAAAAGATCCCTTGTCCCTCTAGGAAATAAGGGATAAGGGATCTTTCGGAAAAGGCTTTATTTTCTGCAAGATCAGCGTCTAGACTGGCGCTTTTTTCCGACAAAGCTCCGTGCGGAAAAAAAACTGCAGCCATTTTTATGCTAATGAAGCGGGGGAGATTTAAATCCCCGCTTCATTAGCAATTGCGATATGTCTAATTTACATCCCTTTTACGGAAAAGGGATGCAATCTAGACGTAGCCCTAGTGTTTGTTTGCAACAAGCATTTGATTTGAAATTAGGCCTAATCCTGCAGGTGAACTCTGTTCCCATTTGGATGTAATAAAAATCATGGGTAGATTATAGACAAATTCTTTCTTAATATCTTAAAACTAGAAGATTTGCCCAGTGTTGCCTAGTAATGCTGAACAGAGCACTTCTACAATTTTCTCCATTTTATCTCTTTTCTGTAAGGTTTATTGAGAAGCAATCCTATTCCAGGTTCATCCTATTTTTCTGGCTCATCTTGGTTCAGTATCTTGCTTTAGTGATTCTGTCTCTTCTGTTTGGTTTTATGAGAAGCAATCCCATTTCAGGCACATCCCATTTTCCTGGCACAAAAAAACCCTTACATGGCTGTAAGAGTTTAAGTTATGATAAGAGGAAGATGGATAGTGAATTTGGTGATCTTAGCTTTTACCATTCAGGAACACTCTTGATCAAAAAAAGAAACAGACAAACTCTCTAAAATATATAGTAGATAACAACCAAATGTCTTTATTGCTTCATTAGCTAAAAAGAATTTTGGGCAAAATTTTCAAAAGCTCCTAAATCACTTAGAAGGTAGGTCAAGATCCTTACAGGGATCCTGAGATAATGGGAGTTAGGTTCCAAATACTTTTGAACCTAAGGCTCAATGGAAGTCAGCGAGTCTTAGATTGTCTTTGGGAGCAGGTCTCCTTAAGCATTTGTAAGGTGCCTGGTACATCGGTGATACAATTCTGTCTGGAGTCTTTGGATGTGATCACAATACAAATATTGTATCATGTTATATTGTAACATCAGCTATGGAACCACAAAATGTTGCAATGGCAACCATAAATAACGTTGCATTCTTCAGCCAATATCCAAGCACCTCGGATTTTATTGCATGGCTGTGTTAACTCTGTAAATGATGTACTTTCACTGGTAATTAACAGAGCTGAAGAAATTACACCAAAGCTGATCTGAAGGATTTGTAAACCAAACAAACGAACAAAACATACAGCCATTCTATCTCCCTAAAATAAAGCATGATGAGGAGCCTTTTTTTCCCCTCATTTGTGTGTGTTTGGTTTTCAGTTCTTCTTACATTTGATCCAAAAACCAGTCTGACAAAAGCAACGTCTGAGGGAGGGGAGAGAAGAAAACTCCTCAGCATTTGTGTTCAGAGAATCCCCTTGGCTCAAACTGCTGCCATAAGTGACCCTGTACTAATGCCATTCTGTTGGAAGCACATGTAGACTTAATGAATCAGTTATATCACAATCTGATTGTTACTGCTGTTGAAAAGCCACCTGCCAAAGGGAAGGAGAGGCTAAGATCATGTAGCCAACCTGTAGTCTGTGCCCTCCAATGGAATATGCACACAACGAGCAGCCATGATTAGTTATTAATATTATCACCACTGCTCCATCACAAGTTGATTTTCTTCTTGCAGCCAGCCCATGGCAGCCGTTTCTAAGAAAAATCTGAGCCTCGCTTTAATCTCTGATCACTTACTTCCTGAAGCAGTTTACCTGAAGGGCCATGTCTAATTTAGTAAATATAAGGGCACTGATTTACCTTATCTGGAACTAAACTGATTATTTCTCATTCTCTGTGGCATTTAATAGGAGAAAAGAAGAAGAGAAGGATGAAGAAGAAAGCGCTACCTGATTAGGAGTTCAAGGGCCTATTCTGCAGAGTGATAAAGCTTAAAGGAATTTGTGATGAGAAAACAAAGTATCCTTTGTAGATAAAGAAAAATCTTCCTATTTACCACTCTCAAACATAAACCATGCTCAGAAAAAAACCTGAGGTGCTTGACAGCCAGCTGACCTCCCAGTAAAAGCATGGGTTTGCAAATGTGTTCTAAGCAGACTAGAATACAAACAAGTCAAGAATGAACTAAAATTAATATTATGATTGATTCACTCATGCAAAGTGGGGAGAAAGCACTGTATACATATACTACTACCTATAGCTGACAAGTGAACTTGTTGGTGAGAGTCACCCATGCTCGCCAATTAAAAAAATGTTTATGATGTTTTTTAAATCTCTCAGATTCAGCTATTAATATTTTCCTTTGTATTCACTGCGTAAATAACGTTATTTTTGTGTGGTAAAACAGAGTGTGCGTCCTGTCCAACTAATGAAAGAAAGAGAGAGAGAAAGAAAGAATTCTAAACAAATTCAGTAATGAAAACCCAAAAGATTAATTCATGTGCAAAATAAAAGCATTGCTAACGTAAGGATGGGTAGCCCCTTGAAAGCTTATTACAGGGAGAGCAGAACTAACGGTAACATTCTGCAGGTTTTCATGTCTAATGCAAATTTAAAATTTCACTGGAAATGAAATAATTAAAAAAACAGAACGCCAACCATCACACGCATGCTGAAGTAAATGAAAGCCTCTCCATAGGATAGGAAATGTAACACACTTCCATCTTAGCACGCATTTTGTATGCATTTATTCTAAATATTACATGGCAGAGTTTATTCTTCCAATATGGATTTTACAAGTGTTTTTCTTGGAACATCACTTGTAGAAGTGTTGCATATTTTACAAAAAAGAGATTCAAAGGATGAGTTTTTTTTTAATGAGGAGAAACTATCAAAAACACCAGCAACAGACCAATTCCTAGTGAAAGGCAAGTAAATACGTGCCAGCATTAAGAAGTTGCATTTTTTTTTAATAATTGAAATTTATGTGCATCAGCAGACTTTTGGGCATTGTTCTTCCCAAACTAAACTGTTCCTTATAGGCTCATGTTTACTGAAGCCTAAAATTGGAACTGACAGCAATTCATTACAACAAAGTGGGCTTCTTTCCCTGCCTGCCTGTAGCCCACATCCCATTCATGCCCTAGAAATCCAGTCATCTCCTGACACTCATCTGCTGGGAGAAGAAAAATAGGACAGGGATGGGGATGTGTGTCACCGTGGCAAGGAAGTTCACAGCAATCTGCTGGCTTGTTCGTTGAGACCTCACCTTTGCACTGCTGGTACTCTCTCTTGTCTTCCTCAGATGCCTCAGACATGTTGAGTGCAAGCACATCCAGGGCTTGCTTGCACTCCTGAAGCAGCGTATCAACAAGTTTTTGATTATTCATAATGCCTGCTCCCACTCTGCTGTGAATCGGGCGCCTTGGCTGAGCAGTGATCAATTACCTAGGAGAAGACACAAGTTCTAAATGAAAAGGATCCCTTCAAGGCTGAGGTACCTGGTGAACAAAAGAGAGGGAAGATGATTAACTAAAGCATCATCAATTATCTGTGAGACTCAAGCAGGGAGAGATAATAGGGAAAATACATGACAGTCTCAGAAGACTTTATTAGAGGAGTGTGTGAAATAACTGCAGGGTCTCTGTGACAAACTGTGCAAGGCAAACATCTCTGAGGTACCAGAGAGCAGAGAGAAAGGGCCTGCTTTTCAATGGAGCCGTAAAATCACAAGCAGTGAAGTGACCAGCCAGGGTGCACTGAATCTCTTTTCACTTAGGAGACTCATGCAGTCAAGTGCTTTTAGTTTGAACTGAATTGTAGACCTTTTAACACAGAATTACAGTGAGGCTCCACATTTTCAAATGCTTGCTGGATGACATGGCATATGCTTACTGGAGCCTGCAGGGAATAGTTGGCTGTATAATTTTTACTCAGGGTCATCGTAGTGTTCAGCTCTCTCATGCATCTTCCCTGAAACTCTTTTAATCAACATAACATGCTGTTAATCCCACAATACAATATTCTAAATAATACCTTGAAAGGGTTCAGTCTTGATATTCAAGATTTCAGAATCTAGAGACACTAGTGTTTGCTTCTAGTGCTGTCAACAGTGTGACAATCTATACACACACACAAAATCTACTATGAAATTATAGAAAACGGTGGAATTAGTTCTGCTACAACCACCTTACCACATAATGGGGGGGGGGGTCTGTTTTACATTATGGGAGGAGCTAGTAACACTGCCTATTATTAGGATTGCCTGACATTTCCCATTATAAGAGCTGATATAGTCAGTTGCTTATAACTTTACCAAATGTAAGCCATTTTGGCTGAAATTTTCCACACTGGGAGTTTACCTCAGACTGGAGTTTTTAGAAAAAAATCAGCTGAAATGTGTCTGGCCAATTCCAAGAACCAGCTTAAAGAAAGAGACATTGTTTTTTGCCCTGTTAAATTTTGGTGACCTCCACTTTGAGAACTGTTAGTGTCCCCCATTTTGGAGCAGGGACTTGGGGTGGCCTTTGTGTGAGGGAAGAGCTTTTTTATGACCCTATGAAAAATATTCCAAAAATTTGCCAAGTTAGAAGCCTTGGAAAAATGGAAGTTATTCTTGCTCAGAAAAAGACTTCTTCAATTTTAGCAGTGAAATTCCCCAGAGATTCCATCTTCACTGGCATTTTCCCAGACCAGGACTGGGCCGGATTTAACTTGCATCTCCGGGCTGCTGCAAGCTGGACCGAGTCCCAGGTTCAGGTTTGGGGTCTAAACCAGAGAACAGATAGCCTGTCTTGCCTATCCTGTCAATGACTCCTTTGTTAGGCCCAGGTAGTTTGGAGGACAAAGCTAGATGCTTAGTTTGAATGCAGCAGGGGTAAGAGCGGTACTTTCCAGAGGAGCAGGGAATAGACTGGCAGCATATTAACTAGGAAATTGGGGTGGCGAGAGACCTGGACGAGGTGGGGGAAGACTGGACTAACGGGGCAAGCAGAATGGGACTGAGAACTAGTGTGGGTGAGGGAAAGGAGGTGAATGAGCGGGGAGACACAGCTCACAGGGATTTGGGATGTGTGGGGAGAAGTGGGGTTAGGTGGGCAAAAGGACTGGGACAAGGAGGTAGGGGGCAAACACTGTGATTGGCCAAGGAACCTGGGAAGGAAAACTGAGACTGGAAGACAATGGGTGGGAAACACAGGGACAGGACAACTGAAGGTCAAGCTGGGGCAGGGAGACTGAGTGGATAAGCTAGAAGAGGAGGTACTGGGACTTGCTGGTCTAGGAATCTGAGTAAAAAAGATGGAGGAACTGGGAATGGCCAACTAAGGAGAGTGATGCAGACAGGGATGGGAACCCCAAAGCAACAATGCTGTTCTATTAATTGTAGGTTGATTATACCACTGAGTTAGCTTCCCAAGTCAACACTCTGAAGGTTCTTGTATCAAGATCAGGCACAGCCTGATCAGAATGAATGTTAAATTAGGACTCCCCATGTGATGATTGCAACATTCCCACTCTTTTCATAGGAGTTTCATTAGCACAGTTCTCAGACGCAAACACTCCAACCCAGCAAGGCAGGTAGCAATAATGCAAAATGAGTGGAGCATCCATGTACTTCTCCCATCCCTTGCAAAACAATAGGACGTGTTAATTATCTTCCTCATCGCTGCTAATGGTCATCACCCAATGTCTCCCAAGAGCCTACAGCTCTCCCTCTCAAAAGCCCACAGGGTTGGATACAACCTTTCTAGTGCATTATGCTGATACCACTATCCTGAATGAATATACAGGAGGGGTTACATCCCCTTTTCCTTATTGGTAGCTCCTCTCAGCGATGTTGGAAGAATGCAGCTGGCTAGATGAGGAGAATGGGACTGGGACAGGTAGCAAGGGGTGACACACACACACGATTAGGGAAGGGATACACTGGAAAGGATGGGGAAGGACTGATCAGTGTTGGAGAACAGAAGGGAATTCTGTGCCCACTGGAGCACATTCATCTACAGAGTGTGGAATGGAATCCAAGCTCTCTGAGTCCCTCCACACCACTATTGGCAGCAAATATCTCATCCCATGCTGTCCACATAGAGAATGGCAACCTACTACAGTAAAACTCCAGGGCTGCGTCTAGACTGGCATGATTTTGCGGAAATACTTTTAACGGAAAAGTTTTTCCCTTAAAAGTATTTCCGCAAAAGTGCATTTAGATTGGCATGGATGCTTTTGCGCAAAAAGTGCTTTTGCGCAAAAGCATCCATGGCCAGTCTAGACGTGATTTTGCATAAGAAAGCCCCGATCGTCATTTTCGCCATCGGGGCTTTTTTGCGCAGAACAGTTCTTCTCTGTCTACACTGGCCCTCTTGCGCAAGTATTCTTCCACAAGAGGGCTTTTTCCCGAGCGGGAGCGTGAAAGTATTTGCACAAGAAGCACTGATTTTGTACATTACAAAGTCAGTGTTCTTGCGCAAATTAAAGCAGCCAGTGTAGGCAGCTGGCAAGTTTTTGCGCAAAAGTTTACTGTAATACTATCAGTTATTCCCTTAGTTCCACTGGCAGAGGTCAGTTTGCGTGCAGGTTGTAAAGGTGCCAGTTCTGCTGATGACCCTTGTGGGCATCAATGTCATGTCACAGGAAGGAATTTCTGAGTTTTTTTCCAGTTTGGAAATTATACACAATAAACTGTGAATTAAACACAATTAGGGTGGCTAAATCAGTCACTCAAAAGTCAGGATATGCCAGAATAAAGTTGCCCGTGCAATCTTTTATCTGTACGTACTGCAGAAGCTGGAGGATAAGTACTGAATGAGGCAAGGGAATACAGAAAGAGAAAGGACAGTCTCATCCTCCAAGCACTCAAATGCTGCAAAGAACAAATATGTGCCTTTAAATCACTCCGACGTTACTTTACGTTTCATTAATGAATTTATGAAGTACAGTCTTTTTGCAAAATGCAGGACAATGTAGCACTTTAAAGACTAACAAGATGGTTTGTTAGATGATGAGCTTTCGTGGGCCAGACCCACTTCCTCAGATCAAATAGTGGAAGAAAGTAGTCACAACCATATATACCAAAGGATACAATTAAAAAAAATGAACAAATATGATTTTTTTTAAATTTTTTTTTTAATTGTATCCTTTGGTATATATGGTTGTGACTACTTTCTTCCACTATTTGATCTGAGGAAGTGGGTCTGGCCCACGAAAGCTCATCATCTAATAAACCATCTTGTTAGTCTTTAAAGTGCTACATTGTCCTGCATTTTGCTTCAACTACCCCAGACTAACACGGCTACATTTCTATCACTAGTCTTTTTGCAGTAGCAGCTCAGGACAGAGTAAGTATGCCTCTAGAACGGTCTTCTATCACCAGCCTTCTTTATGCCAACAGGAGTTTTGTTTGCGAGGATTTTTATTTCGCTTGAAACCACTGGAAGGATTTTATGGCTTCAATAAATGTTCTGCAACAGTGAAATCTTAAAAGTGAGCCAGCGGAGGTGGAGATGCACACAAATTTTGATGGCTGTCCCTAAACAGAGAGAAGTTTTTTCACAGCAGCTGACCCACTTTGCCAGTGCTACTTTCTCTCCAGTGTTCATTGGGGGTGGCAGCCACAGAAACAGACCTGAGCCAGTGATCTGCTTTCTCTCAAGCATGAAGAACATCAATCGAGTTTCACTGCCTGCAGTAGCTGGGGGAATGGCAAGGAACTACTTTCTGGTGCGGTGTTCTAGTTCCTCTGGCAGATGGGCTGCTGCCTGCGCTTTGGAGACAATGGAAGATGGAGATTGGGTCCCTCTAGGGCAGTGGTCCGCAACCTTTCATGGCTGCCGGGCGCCTGGGGGCGTGGTCACTCACACGCTGGGCGTCCGGGGTGGGGCCGCTCACACGCCACGTGCTGGAGGGGGGGGCAGCCCAGACGTTTCGGCGGGCACATATAAATGCCTTGGCGGGTGCCATGGCACCCACGGGCACCGTGTTGGGGACCACTGCTCTAGGGTCTGCATCACACCACAACACAAAGCTTCACCTATGACACAGCTCAGAGGCCTGGTCTTCTCTGCAAAATATTCTAGGTTTGGAACACTACTGTGAAGACTCCAATTGATGTATAGAATACCAATCGCAACAGTATCTAGCACAGAGAAGCTACAAGCCCTCTTCATCACTATTTTTTAGCTAGTCATAGTTAAACCCTAATTTAACTATTGATAACACAAACAGTAACAATCATCCTGAGTTTAACCTCCCCTCCCCCGCTTTCAACTCTAAATGGCAAGTGAAGCTGTAGACCAAACTGATTTGTCAAGATCATTGGAAAAGATTCATCATAACTTTTCTTCCCAGAGATCCCTTTGCCTAAGCATCTTTTGCACTGGGATAAGTTGTAAGAACTTCATTTTGCTAAAACTGGTAATGCTGCTGAAAAAGTTCATCTTTATAATATCAAAGCACTTTCCTCCTTTTCTTTATGGCCAAAGAAATTGATCCAGTTACAGGCTAC